AAAAAAAAAAGAACAACAACAATTACATATTTCATACATAATACTGAACAAATAACAGAATTTTCTTTAATATTATTAATCAAAAGCAAAGATGTCATAATTTCAAAAGTGATATCAAGTTGTAGAATTTCATCACTTCAATTAGTGGAAAGATTGTTGACCCCCTTTAATCCATTATGGCTTAGTAAATCATTGCTTCCAAGAGACAATATTATTATTATATATCCAATGAGCTTTTGCAAATTAATTAACAATCTTTTGGTAACATGCCAAAAGTATCATTACTGTCTATGGAATTATAATATAATTATTTGTCATTTGCTGAGCAACTTGTCCATGCTTTGCCTATATGCTGGACAAAGGCATGGACATAGGTACATGAAATATTATATAATTTTATCCTCTTCACATGCCAATCTCCAACATGAAAATTATGGTCAAAGACTGGATCCAACATTAAAGTAATCTGTATGATTGGACAAACCTAATTTTTATGGGAATATTACACATTCAAGAGAATAAGTTTAGCTTATTTCAAAAATAAGAAAACAAGTTTAAGATTTCCAAAATTAGATTTTTATTAAAAAATTTTAAATTTTCATTTATGAAATAAGAAATTATTAAATTAATTTATTATTAAATATTTAATTATAATATAATATGATTAACATATCCCACCTTCATCACCCATACCGCTTCGGCGATCGTTCTGATCACCGCTCTACTCCGGCGAACTTTTCGACTACCGTTCCGGTGACTTTCCGGTGAACTTTTCGGTGACTACCGGCGAACTTTTCAGGTGAAGTTCCAACGAACTTTTCGCGACTTTTTCGATGACTTTTTCGACTCAGATCACAATTCACAGCTCAGGTCACAGTCCAATTCACATGTCACTGCTCATGTCACAACTCAAGTCACAAGTCACAGTCCAGGTCACAAGTCACAGCCCAGGTCACAACTCAGGATTTTGTTCATAGTCACAGGTTATTTTCAAATGATCTTACAAAATATTTTTGCACATGATTCAGATTAATATTTGTCACAAATTGTAGAATTTTAAGGTCGCAGTTAATCCATTGTGCAGTCACAATTAGTCCATTATGCAGTCCTAGTTGGTCACGAAATACAGCACAGATTCAAATAACTGTCGGCCGCACCTTACCACAACCACCGGACCATCGCCTGTATAGCACCACCACCATAAAAAAAAAAAAAAACGACCTCAGCGAGTCGACATCACCTCACTGTCAAACCGCTACCGCTACCGCCGCCGCATCCACCACTTGAAACAAATCAGCCCATCGCAAAAACAAATATTATTACAGTCACCGCCACGACCATAGATCGGGACACCACCATCGCATC